AAATTCCATCTTACTTTTCATATGTTAGAGCCAAAAAGGCATATTAGAGCATTTACTCCAAGCTCCCAAATTCTGCTCTTCATGAGATTTTTATAAGCTACTCCATACTGATACCTTGTATTTTACTAAAACACGGCTTCCAAAAGGGTATTCAGGCTTGATTTGAAAATAAGGACAAAACAGATCTACTACTTTGATCTGTTGTTTCAAAAAAAAAAAAAAACCTAAAATTCCTAAGTCTGACTCTAACTCTAGGCATCATTTCTAGTAATACTGTCTTCTCTAGTGGATGAGTTTTAGTACCTGCTATTTTCTCTCTACAAGATGTAATGAAGTCATGTCTTGTGTTTCTTTTGAAGAGGGTAAACAGATAATTCTTTTAGCTACCTCCCCCCTGCAACAAGTTGCCCGTTCTGCTTTGTTTTTGTTTTTTATTTTTAAAAATTTTGGCTATTTTCAGTACTGCATGGTATTTTTAGAACTAATACACATACATAAAATTATCCTACATACTTGCTACTTCTTATATCCAAGAATCACATTAGCTCTTCCATTGTCATACAGAAAGCTCATGTTCAACTCACACCAACATGGAATTGCTTTTTTCCTATATCCTCTAAATTCTCTTTAGCTACTACTTTAAGGAAGGCTTACGAGTTCTGTAAGTATAACCTGCACTTCTTCCTCCCTGAATGTACACCCTTGTATTTGACTGCATTAAAATGGATTTTGTTTGAATGCTGCTTTGTATGAATACACCAAGAACATAACACCAGAATATAAAGAAAACACCTGGATTCAAGTCTAGTCACCTCAGCTGCAAGCAACTAAGAAACAGATGTTTAGTTCAGAATAGCCTCTACAACATTCTTTACTTGCCCCTAGCCCACTACAAGCCATAAAATATAATGCCTCTTCCTCTCCATTCTTCTCTTCTCTCATCTTGCTCCTTCATGAACTTAGGAGGTTTACTACAAGGGAACAAAAAGTTTACAAAAACCTAAGTGTACCACCTCAAATAGCTAGGCAAGATTGAGGGCTTTACCTCAGCCCCATTCAGGGCTTTACCTCAGATCTAGCCCATATCAAAATGTCCAGATGATCCTTGAAAGTAGAAAAAAGGGGATATAAAAGGGGCATTTCACCTTCCACAATTTCTTCCATCATTACTGCCGTACTGCTGATTTTTATCACTAACATTTTATCATGATTTTATAGCTAATTCTCGATCATCAACAGGAAAACTGAGCAAGCTCAGGCAAAATGTCAATCTCCGTAAAGTCCAGGATCTAACTCACTGACTGGTCACATTTGAGAAATGCACTTTGTTCATGTTGCAAAGCCTTACTTTGGTAAAACGTGCTGCAGTATAAAGTCATGCACCTTGTAGAAGTCTAAATATAATCAAACGTCTACAACTGTGAGATACGGAATATAGGGACAATTCCTAAATGCTACGAAGATCAAAGACCTGAGCATATTTTCTGCCAACTGATTTTAGGCCACACAACAAAAGCTGTTCTGGCTTACTGATTCCAAAATGTTCTCTCCTTAGATACAGTTTAATCTACTCTCTACTCCCCCAAAAAGTCACGATTTAAACTAAATTCAAAAATATGATTTACATCAGGTTGGTTTTCTTAAACCAACATATTCATTATAGAAATGTTTCTCCTTTCCTGTTAAGTGTTCTCATTCAAGCTTCTGAAAATTAACAAGCAACTACTACTACGTATCTGGAAACCAAGCTATGAAGACTAACATGTTATCTGAAGCTGTAGTAGAGCAGATTCAGAGAATAACTATTTCTTTTGCATGAGAACCAACTTTGCTTTGCTAATATGTATAGGAGATTTAGTATTCTGAAAAACTCTAGCCTGATCAAACCTTTCTGTGGGTTTCCACCAACCTGTGTAATATATTATAAGCTCTTTGGTCTTAACCTTTGGAAAATCCAAAGACATTTAAAAATATGATTAATTCCCCTTTTTAAACTGCAATCCCATCAATATCGAAGTGTGGAGACTGTATCCTTTATCTATCCTACTAATTTCTAAATGGTCTGTCATTGAAGCTCCATAAAGCCGTGCTATGAGACCAGGTTTTTTAAACGAACAGTGCTGTAATGAGTAGTTCTCAATTTACAGTATTTTATACTTCTTTAAAGAAAAAAGAGCTACAGAATAACAGGAATGGAAGCAAAGGATGCACATCATTAATTCTGCTTCATTAGGCGAAAAGGAAAAGGTAAAAAGGAAAAGTCCAAAAGGAAAAGGCAAGAAACCCTCCAAACCAAAGAAACTCCCACCACTCAAATCTAAAAGAATTAATACGTGGAAACATTGAACTCTAGGCCAAAACACACATGGAGATGGATCTTCTGAAATATTTTTTCCAAAAATGCATGCTCTTTCAGCTACAAATTCCAATTCAACAATGTAAGACAGCCGTGTTCAGTGCCTTTCATAAAATACCTCCTGCACCTGCCATCAGCGTTCAGAAAAAGAGTATTTACTCCACTCTTACAAAACTGATAATTAAGACAGAACTTCACAATAAGCAAGGTAAAAGCCACCAAAATATGAACCCTTAATCTATCAACTGTTGCTACTTCCTCCTACTGCTCAATCACCATTCCTTGGTACTATCGTCTCCTGGATCCAAGCTCTGCCCTCTCCTCTTCTACACATCTTCTTTTCTGCTATCTTTGTGAACGGGAAACAGAGCACTGTCTGCCAATCCTCATAAACCATAAAGAGCAAATGCATTAACATATTTTAACCTACGAATAAGGTCTTTTTGCCTGGAGTGCCAAGTCTTACCTTCAACATATGTATTTGATTAACTTAACCATATGCATTATATTTCCAAATGTAAAAGAAAAATATCCGTTCGCTACCTGTTTATACGATCACAAGGCTGGGGAAAAAGACAGTAAACCAGTACCAATCATTGGGAACTTTTTTAAAATCTCATACCATCAAAACCTGCACCCAGTAAAATCAGGTAAATTCTGTAGGCAAACTCTTGAAGTAAGTGGAAAGCCAATGGTAAATTGTTATATATCTGTAGCTGCCATTTTGCAGAAATGGTAGCTCACTTGTCAGAAGCATGAAAGCGCAAGGAGTGGGCTTCTTAAAAGGAATATGCGTTTATGGTGGGATAAATCTGACACAGCATCACAGCAACAATTCCCTTATTTCATCTTAGTTCCTCAAAATTTGAAGTATTCTCAAATTTAAAAAAAAAAAAATCTCAATTTCTTCAGTAGAATTGGCAAGGACAGATGAGGGCAAGAATTAGTACAGCCACAGCTGAAGCCCTGCTTACTCTTTTACAGAACACTTACTCTATAGAGTAGAAGCAGCTGTTGAGTAAGGTTAAAGAAGTACCTGGTTGATTGCTGCTGCTGTCAGTGCCCCCAGAGAAATAATGCATATTAACAGCAGAAAAATAGTTCCAAAGAAATGAAGAAAGAAAAGGAAAGAAATACACATGCAACTCACGAAAAGTTGTGATACAGGAACAATATTGCTCATTGAGTTCAAAGCCAACCTAGCCAAACTCTCAATACACACATTAACAAATAACTACATATCATTGTCCCAGGCCTTACCATGAAGTTACAGCAGTGTTTGCTGAGGTCAGGAATGCATAACCTAAAGAATGCTCAGGAGGTAAATTTCTCAGCGGCTGTCCACAGATGGACAGTGGACCTCCTCCTAACTAAAAGCCCTAATGAAAATGATCAAACATCTAGCCCATACTGTAAGGCCTACTTTCTCAAATGCTTTTGTCCTATATCTTTTTTCTATAAGAAAGCCATTTTGATTACTAGAGTCCACTCTTATAACTGCCAGAGGAAAACAGACTGCTCGTGGCAAACTCCAGTAAGACTTGTTAAGAAAATTTCAAGTAGTTTGCAAAAGATTGTCGCCCAAGGTGAAGTCTCAGGAAGTATGCGACAAGCAAAGGATCAGGAGTCAGGGAGAGTTCAGAACTGTACCTGTGTTAAACTGCAATATGAGTCACTGTTCTCTAAATGAGTAGCAAGCAGGACCAATACTCATACTTTAACTATCAAATAATGACTCAAGATCATTAGCAGAATCCAGAGATCTAAATTATCCCCCCAAGTAAATAGGGATCTAGTTTAGATCAGGTTTAAGAACTAATTTAGAGTGTGTGTATGGAAGGGAGAAGAATAATCAGTCTGTCCTATGCCACTTCACAAAGGAAACGAGGACAAATTTTTCAAAACCAGAGAGTATTGAGCAAGACACACACAAAAGAAAACCACCATTTTGGTGCTTTAACAGATCCTTGCATGGTCATGTCTGTCTAAAGGTAAAACTCAAGATTCTGCATCTGGAGAAAGGCTAAGGTCAAATCAGTCTACGAGAATGTGATATTAAAACTGTAAATATTTATTCAGTGCACATGGAAATATTTAATCAGATGAACATCAGTGTCATATTTGCTATTTCCTGACGAGAAAACTGCTTTCTTTCTCTATGCCCTTAACAAAAGGCAAATAGTTGAGAGCCAGCACAGTTTAACTCCTCCTGGGAAACAGCAAGGTAAAACATTTAAATTTCACTGGTACTGCTCTTCATATTTCTGACAGCAAAAATGAAAATAATCAATTAAATGATTAAATGAAATGATTAAGTGAAATTAATCAAGAAAGCTTCAACTGTAACATAGTTACAGAATCCTTTAAAATAGCAGAGGATGTGAAAGGAGGGTACTCTTCACCACTGAAACTAACAATGAGGGAGATGAGGAAAGAGACACAATTTCTCATTTTCTCAGCAGCTAGGAAAAAGTTCTGCAGATGCTTCAGGTGCATCAGCCAAGGTGCAACTCTATTTAGCAACTCTATGATGCTAAACTAGCATCAACTTTAGCATCAGCTGGCATTCTTTTGTGAAAAAGCTGCCTGTCTTTTAGAATACATCAGTAAAATAGAGTATTCTAAAATAAAGTATTTGATTTACCTTTTTTGTGTGCCTCTATACTCCAATGTTGCATAATTAAAATGTGGGTTATTTGCAAATGTCGCAGTTCTGAAATTGCAGTTGATTGAACTCTTCCCCATCACTAGTTAAAATATATCTAAAGAAACATCATGATAAAGGTGATGAACAGGCAATTAACTGCAAATAGAGTATACAGGCAACCACATAACCACTAAATGATCACTGACTAATAAGTAATGTCCATATCATTTATAAATTTCAGTAGTATCAGTTAACCCAAAATTAACAATGATTATTTTATTTATCACCTCCTAGCATCTTACGCGGCTCTCTCACAACCTTTCTCCACATCAAAAGCTCACTGTGACTCCGCTTTATGACGATCCATGCGAGGACAACCATTGGTAGTAACAGCTGAACCTCAGTCTAGCAATTCTGTGAAACAGTTTTAATTATGGCTCTCACACCCTAGAAGATAGTTAGACTAAAAAGACAAACTAATTTTCCATGACTTGTCCGAAGCAAACATAGCTTATGCATGTGTGTGTTTGTTTTTTACATAAATAGCATGCAAAAATAAAGTAAGGGCATCATCATAAACAGCACTGTGACCGAATGACAAATATTAAATGCACAGAAATATTGTGTTTAATTCAACTAGATCAATGCATTACTATTGGAGAGTTTTGAAAGACATAAGCATCTAAGCTGACTTTGTTCTTTAAAGGTAAATTAAATATATTTCCTTTCAAGATTCCTGTTATTTGATACTTAAAGACGTAGTTAGTATGACTAACAAAAAATTAGCTCAAATACCCAGTTTATACTGTATTTAACATCAATCTGTTATCTCAATTTTCCTTAAACTGAATTCTAATCCTATTTACATTTATTCTACATATGCGAATCAAAATAAATCCAGAAAAAGAATCACATGTGCTTTTCGAGTTAAAGAATCTGTTGGTCTCCTTTCACGCCTGTCCGTATAAGTTCTTCACACAATAAAGTGAAAAATAATTTGGAAATAAAAAATTACCACTGCAAAAAGCAGAAGTACTGCAGGAAAACTTCAGGGAGTATGGCACCCAAAACAATTTTTAATTTTCAGGCACAGTACCTGAAACCAATTTTAGAATAGCTAGATTTCAAGCCAACAGTAACTCTTTAATGCTGAACCAACTCTACAACAAATACTGCATTTCAATTATATAAGTAAGTTTGCAACTAAACCATTATCATCTGAGCGCTGGAACCGTGTCAGCAGGTATACTTGCCTCTGGTCTATTTCAATTCCTTTTTAACAAAATACATTTTATAGAATGCATAAAGAACATCCTAAGATGTTTTGTTCCATCACAATCTGTTCTTTAGCTTGATGTTGTGCTTTTCAGGAAAAGCTCAGTCTGAAGTGAGACCTGGAGTAAAATGATTCTGCGACGGTTAGCATGCATGATGTCAACTACAGCAGATGACAACTGTGTAGTATGCAACTTTGGCAATTAACCCAAAAGTATATTAAATCAGCTACACAATACTGTATTGTTTTGTTCAATCATTAAGCATTTTTAATCAATTAGTAAAAAAATATCAACTATTATGTGGCAACAATACTAAGCATGTTTTATCTGTTAGCACGATTCCTTGTGTTTGAGTTCATCCTTCCTAAGACTGAAAATTTCAGGGCTATATATGACTAGGTACAACACTGACAATGCCAAGTAGCATCACTAGTTATGGAAAAACTTCTCACAAAAACAGGCATTATTTCCAGTAGTCAGAGTTCAAAGAAAAAGGCTATCACACTGGAAATATTTCTTTCTACTCAAATTAATGACAAGCCCACGTTAATCGCTTCAATGATGACTCATATAGGATAGCTATAAGACAGGATCTTGCTCAGCTTACACGTACATTTGAAGCCATACTACACAGATGGGCAGCTGTCTTTATTTTAGTTTCACTGCAGAACCCGAATACAATTCCTTCCTCGGGAAAAACAAAAACAAAAAACAGAAGTTCCCAATCAGCAGACTTAAGTGTTTAAACGTATCTGGAATGTTGTTTCTAAACTTGTCATCTGGATTTTGCCAGTAAGTTATGTAAACTGTTGTAAAATTATTAACTGAATCCAAACCGTATAACAAAAAGTACGGTAAAAGTTTTTCTACAAATTTAGCCTAGCCCATCTGCTGCTAAATTTAATTTACATCTATTTTAAGACAAAATGCTCCAGAACAAAACTCGTACTTCATTTCTGGAGTTTAACATGATCTTAAAATAAAATATAAAAAAAGGATAAGGAATTTTAGAAGTAGAAGACAAATATTTCATAAGTTAATCATAAGTATTTAGGTACAGGACTGACTACAATCTATGGACTCATACAGCTCAGCTATTTTCTATGTTTATTTTACAGTTCTGAAATGCAACTTATATATAGGCCAGTTAAGTCAGAGATAGCCATGGCAAGTCAGGTTGAAGTCAAGTTCTACACTGGGTACAGGTGTTAGATTGGCTAGCAATTATATTTAGGATTCCCAAAACGTAGCGAGTTTTGTATCATTTACTTCCAGGATCAGGGTCCTGGTTATAAGGCATCTTTAAAATCAGCGTAGCCTAGCATTCAAATATAGAGACAGAGGTCAAAATAAAACAGAAAGAGAAGTCATAAAGATAAGTCTATTCACAGATGATGTCTATTCACGCCAGAGGAAAACAGCTGGTTAAAATATCAGTCTGATCTTCCGTATTTGCTTTTCCTGCAACTCAAAGTCTACTCTTTTTCATGCATTTCAAATAGTCAAGCCATGATTCGAAAGCTCTACTTTTTCAGTACAGCTCTCAGCTTAAATCTTCAGAATTCATTATTTTGACAGCCCCTATACCTGAGTGCTCAGAAAGTCAGTCTTAATTTTTTTTTCAATATGGAACTAAAGATTTTTGCTCATACAAGTAGGTGTAAATGAGAAAAAGATTCTGAACTGCTTACTCTCTTCTTTTCTTGTGATTAGACTCTCCTTTGACCATACTCTTAAAAATACGGCACCTCGAGTTAATTAAAAAATAAAATAGAGCAAAAATAGTTTCTAGTATTTATTTGTTTTCCAGTGGTCACAGCATGATTTCTTCTACTTAAAAGTTGAAATGATGTAACATGCAATACCTGGAACTGCATAGACCACTCATGCATCAGTTATGGCTGTTCAAGCTCCTATGTTACTGGAAAGTATCTGCCCATTTTAAAAACCTATCTTATTTTAGCTTGTAGAAACAGCATGGTTAGCACATCATTCTACTACAAATCAAATTAACATTCTTTAAAAAACAAACCAGCATTGTACTACTCAAGCGATTAAAACCATGCCATTTCCATACTCGGGGTAAAGGGAGGGCAACCCGGGATCTCTAATATGTAAGCAGTCTGTAAAAGTATACATTGTAACCAGAGCTGATACTTCAGATCTGTAATATAAGCCTAGTTTTTTAAGATATACGACTTCTTATACAGAAAAATATGAATTTATTTTCCTTGTTTTCATATTAATTTTCAAATATAAGCGATATAAACTCTGGCAATGCCGAGGAATAAAACAGAGTTATGACAAGAACTATTTTGCGGTAAAAGTAACATAAACTATTGGCATAAAGAAGAAATCAAGCTGGGTATCAATATCTGAGCTATGTTCATGCACGTTTACAGGTCTTTTGTGCAATTCTCAACAGAGTGTTTTGCTGCAGCACATAAATTCTATGCAACAAGCATGGAATGTTTGCTTTTATTGTCACCACAGTAAACATACTATTTTCAATCACTAACATGAGCCTCCAGGCCTTTATATTCCCATCCTCGGATCAAAAAATAGCTTCATGAGGCATTAAAGCACACATTGTGGGTTGCAGGCTTACATTAAGCCAGAGAGGAGAAAGAGGGTGGCAGAAAAGGTGAACGATTCGGAGAAGAGAACCAGTCCCATGCCTGGGAAACCAGGAAACTCCCCTGTCGTCTAGCTCAACCTTCTCGAGCCCGCTGCGTGAAGTTGGCTAGGCATCACCAACCTCGCCGCAAGCCAGGCACTGGAAAGAGGCCTCCTCCACTTCATCGTCCTCCCCCCCCCTTCCTCTCCCCTCATCCCGCCGCCAGATCTATTCTTCTTCATTCAGTCTGCCCCAGCCTCGCAACGGAAGAGCAGCGCAGAAAGTCCCCGCCGCTCCCCCCTATCGCGTTTCCCAAGGACTGTGACAACAACCCTCTCCCGCCTGACGCGGGGTAGAACCCCCTGGGGCTGCCCGCGGGGGACGCTGCCCCCACCCGCCAACCCTCCC